GTGGAGGTGCCAATTGAGAAATATGGAAGAAATGGTAGAATTAAAAAAAAAAATCATTTGCAGCCAACACAGTGAGCAGATAGGGATAGGGATAGGGATATGGATGATAGATGAAAGTATTATAGTTACATCACTGTTCACTTTCCTGCATTTGATAGCAGCACAGTGGCGGCGGGGGAGAATGCATGTGTAACTGCACCTAATTTAAAACATTCCTGAGCTAAAGGGATTTGTTGCTGTGGATATGGTTTCAGAAACTGTTTTAACCAGATAGTATTGCAGTATCTTCATCTTTTGCTTGACTGACCTAAAAAATTACTTAATTATGAAGTGGGATCGTACTTTTAATATTCTGTTTCTAGAACATGAGAAACATGTTTAGTAGAAACAAAGTATCTGTCAGTGAATTTCTCTTAACAGTAAGGGGGCAGGCAAGGTTTGTGTTTAATTTAGAGGCGGCTCCTTGGCCTCTCCTTCCTGGCGAGGCCGGTCAGCAGCTCTGTGTGCACTCAAGTGCGGCAGGTGCGGATGGTGGACCCAGTCCCAGGGCCTGAGACCCATGCCCCGCCCTCCTGGAGGATGTGACCTTTGGCTTCTGGCAAAGTCAGGGAATAGTCAGGTTGGGCTGTTTTGTGAATGAAGTTCTATGGGACCCAGCCGCATCCATGGTTGACCTGATGTCTCTGGCTGCCTTCTAGCTACAGCAGTGAGGCTGTGTCTGGCGATGTCTGTGTGGCTCCAGAAACTTCTGCTCCTCCTGGATAGTCACAGCTGACTTTCGGAGGACTGAAGGGCAGGTACCCGTACCTGAACCATCCCCTTCAGTCCTCACAAGGAGCTAACTGCCTCCTTGCTCTGCCTGTTCCAGACCAAGACACTGTTTCCCAAGGTTCAGTCCTTCCCAGTCCTTGGGCAGTCCAGGCTTCTTTTCTTGGAATTGGGGTTGCAAATGATGCAAGGGTGGCCTTTTAAACATACCCAAGTTTTATTAAATAAGATGTGTTTTTTGTTTCATTTGCAGCTTCAGTCGATAATTAAGAAAGTGATTGCCCATTTCCATGATTTCTCAGTGCTCTTCTCAGTGGTAAGTAGCACTCCTTAATTATTTGTGGAAATTTGTATCTGAGTCAGAGATTCTCTTAGTGTCTCAGTCATTTTTCAAGGTGCCCTGGGCCAAAAGAAATGCTTAACGGTTTTCTTCATAAAGTAAGCTACGTCTAAACAGCTTAAGTATCGCTGTCATCACAGCTCAACCAGCAGTTGAAAAACCTGATGCACCTAGACTGAAAGAAAATATGACCTTCAGTTCATCATTCCTTACTACTAGAATGTGTGCTCCAGGGGGCACCACGGCTTCTCAACCCTGGAGTCAAACTGGACTTCCTCTTCCTCAGTGACTTTCACATGGTACTTGCTTTCATCACACAACCTAATGTTGAAACTGAAATAGCAGTTGTCTCAGTGCCTGACAGCTGAGATTTATTATGTTTCCCTCAAAAAGTTAAAAGTTTCTGAGACGTCCTGTCAAGTCTGCTGCAGTGCACTGGGCAAGGGCGACCTGGGCGCCTGAGTACCGTGGCGCCGAGGGGAGGAATCCCCATTCACGAACACTCACAAGGCGGCAAGGTTTTGGTCTTTTCTTTATTTGAAAATAGAGGCAAGTTGCCATAGTCACTCTCTGAACAACTCTGAGTCCTTTCTTTGCTTGCCAATGCCACTGTAAAAATGCTGAAGCTTACTTTTCATTTTAGCACACAGAAAGCTTATGGTCACCTAAATGTTACCCAGCCCTTTCGGGTGGGCTCAGTGGTTACAGCGTAGGCCCCTGCACCGAAAGGTTGCTGGTTCTGTCCCATGGGGGCATGTGCTGGGGGCAACCAATTGATATGTCTCTCACATTGATCTTTCTCTCTCTCTCTCTCTCTCTCTCTCTCTCTCTCTCTCTCTCTCTCTTTCTCTCACCCTTTCCCCCTCCCTTCCTCCCTTTCACTCTGTAAAAATCAATGGAAAAAATATCCTTGGTTGAGGATTAACAAAATAATAAAAAATAGATGTTGCTCAGATGGTGCACCAAAATGTTTACTGGTCCCAGCCTAATCCCTGGGCACAAGGAAATTGTTTTATTTTTTTAAAAAAATATATTTTATTTATTTTTTCCAGGGAGGAAGGGAGAAGGATTGAGAGTTAGAAACATCGATGAGAGAGAAACATCGATCAGCTGCCTCCTGCACACCCCACTACTGGGGATCAAGCCCGCAGCAACTAAGGCAGCAACCAAGGTACATGCCCTTGCCTGGGATCCTTCAGTCCTCAGGCCGACGCTCTATCCACTGAGCCAAACCGGTTAGAGCAGAAAGTTGTTTTAATAGCAGTCGTTTCTAAACCTCTGAGTCATCTCCTGCTCTCAGGGGAGCCCTCGCTGGCCTGCCTCAGAGATGAGCAGCTCTTTTGACCTTCAAAGAAAAAAATGACCCATGGGTTCCTTTTAATAATGTATATAAATAGCATGGAGAGTGCTTTTTTCTTTTTGAATTTTGTTTTAGGAAAAATTTCTGCCATTTCTGGACATGTTCCAAAAAGAGAGCGTGCGGGTGGAGGTTTGCAAATGCATCATGGAAGTTTTTATCAAGTAAGTGTAACTTTGTAATTGGAAGCTTCGATTCCTAATGCCTTTTTGAAACCTGTTGATAAGAAATCAGTGTTTGCACTCTGGGGCCCAGGCCTGTGCATGCATTTCATACCTGAGACATCAGTGAGAGGGAAACCACCTGAGGAGCAGTTATGCTGAAGGCTGTACTCTGTGCTGAAGAAGACAGCGTCCTGAGCATTCACAGGAGCGTGGTCATCACCTGCATTCACTCAGATGTGCTACTGGAAGGAGCAATCTATTGATGAACTACTTAGAGAGTAATATTTTAAAAGATAAAGTCATATTTATCAAGGTACCAGAGCTAGAAAGGTTTGCATGGTCAGTGGGTAGATTTGTGATCTATTTTCAAGTTTAGTTCTTTTCATGTTATTAAATACGTTTCCCAGAACTGCATCCTGCTGGTGGTACATGAAATAACTGTAGGTGGTCCATGGAGGAGAGGTTTTCATTTTCATTTGTAAAGTTGTATATATATTTTTTTAATGTATGTTAGATAATATATAACTAGTGTAGTCAGTGATTTCATGTATACTATTTTTTAAATATTAAGTATGTAGAGTTTAGAAAATTGAGATAGATGTTGCTTGGATATATGTTTTAAGCTTTCCTTGTGTGGTCTTCCTAAAAGATTAATTCCATACGCTTGGAATAAATACACCAACTTTACTTGCATAAGGGTTTGTTTGATGAGCTCGTCCTTTTATATTATTTGAAAAACCCAATTAATACGTGCTCCCTGCACCTAACACAGTTGAAGATAGGTCATGAGCCACTTCAGAGAGTTCAAGAAACATGATAAAAAACAACAGATTTGCCCTTGGCTTGTATTAGGAAGTGTAGCAGCTTGACCAGGATTCTGCAGTTACTAGAAATTACAGTATGTGGAGAAGAGCAAACTTGTCATTGAAAGAAGAATTAAGAGAAAACTAGAACAGAGCCCATCAGTGGTGAACTGGGCCATAGTTTGTGCAATCGGATCATTTGCTGCTTCTCAAATATGTATAGCTGATAAGAACCAAACCCATGCTTTCACTGTCCTCAGGGGCACAGCTTTCACGACTGCCTTTAACTGTTTCCCAGGCATCAGCATGAGCCCACCAAGGATCCAGTCATTCTGAACGCCCTCCTGCACGTGTGCAAGACCATGCATGACTCTGTGAAGTAAGCTGCCACGTCACATGGGCTGGATCTCAATGCCACATGGCAGTACATGAGGGGGATTGCTGCTGGAAGCTGCTACTGGGAGTTATATTTTTATGGGGCTATTAAGGTTCTTGCCAATGAGGACTTTCCACTCTAGGAGAGGAGGGAGGCTGAGGGTACCTTCCTGAGAAAATGAGATGGCATGCTTTTATAAAGGAAGTTCAGGTGAGAGAACAGGCTGGTTTCATCCAAGTGGACTCAAACCCCTGTCTCCAAGAGATTTCTGAGAGCAGCAGGTAATATAATAGTGAGTTCCCTCATTCAGTAACATAGCCTTCACATGTTTCCTCATTAGTCTCCAGTTCTTTAAAGGCACCTGCAATTGTTCATCCTTCTTACATGAAGGACGCTATTTGTTCAGTATATTTGAGGCTGAGACCTACCCACTGACCTTACCTTTGGGTCAAAGGCCAAATGATCACTCCTTTGCTTTCTAGCCTGCCCCCAACCCCACATTTCTATTTGACTACACTTAAGGCAATTCCTGCTTATCACTGAAATTTTAGTTCCCAAAGAATTTTTAACCAAGCAGCTTGATTCACTGTAAAATGTTACAAGCACTGAGAAAATTGTTTTAGAATTCAACCATCAATAAGAGGAATTGTACTTCTTTTTTTTCCCTCTGAAGATTTTCAGAATCTTTATTTTCATGACTTTGTGCTTTCAACTTCATGGGTAGTTATAAAAATCAAAATATCAACACATTTTTTTTCTTTTTAAAAAAATATTTCTTTATTGATTTCAGAGAGGAAGGGAGAAGGGAGAGAGAGAAACATCAATGATGAGAGAAAATCATTGATCGACTGCTTCCTGCACGCCCCCTACTGGGGATCGAGCCCTCAACCCAAGCATGTGCCCTTGGCTGTACTCGAACCTGGGACGCTTCAGTCCGAAGGCTGACGCTCTATCCACTGAGCCAAGTCGGCTAGGGCAAAATATCAACACTTTTAATAATAAATGGAACCATTAGATTTTAATAAATGGAACCATTAGATTTTAACTGGGCAAAAATAAAAATAAAGGCACAGAAAACATCCAGAAAGGCACTTGTGTTAGTAGGATATTGGCTTTTGGCTTAAATAAAATAGGTTGATTTCTCTCTTGATAAAAGTATGAGGCCAGCAGGTGGAGGTATGATAGCTCTGCTTTAGAACATCATCCGGGAACCCAGGCTCCTTCTGTCTTGTTGCTCTGCCATCACTCTGGGTGTTGTCCTTGTTTCCTGGTGGAAGCTGGCTTACCTTGACTATGTCCATGCTGCATTCTGCAGGCTGTAGGCAGCCGCTTTCTTTTAGGGCAAAACTTGGTAGGCTCTTCAATGGACACAGACACTGGGGCGGTGGGGGCTTGCCCGGGGTGGGAATGGCTGGGGTAGGGGGGGCGTCAATTGGGGAAAAAGGAGACATATAAAACTTTAAACAATAAAAACAAAACAAAAAAACTTGGAAGGCTCTTAATTGCTTGCATTTACATCCCATTGGCTAGAACTGTCACATGGCCATATTTAGCTGCAGAGGAGACTGGGAAATGTAGTCTAGGAGAAGGGAGGAGACCTGGCCTATTGGAGGGTGTTTTGCAGTCTCTGCCAATAGTTATCTTTCCTAGAGCAAATCAACAAACAAAACTCTTGGTTCCTGTTTTCTCTGGGCTCTTTTTCAGAATAAATCAGGGCCCTATTTATAAGCTTTACAAGTACAGTCTAAACCAGTGATGGTGAACCTTTTGAGCTTGGCGTGTCAGCATTTTGAAAAACCCCAACTTTGGTGCCATGTCACATATAGACATTTTTTGATATTTACAACCATAGTAAAACAAAGATTTATATTTTTGATATTTAACAAAGAAAAATCAACCAAAAAAATGAGTGTCATAGGTTCGCCATCACTGGTCTAAACTATGAAGCCTTGACATTTTCTTACACATATATATTTGTATTTAATTTGTTAATAGAAGTAACTGATTTACTTTAAGATCCATCCCCAAAATAAGACATACTGACAGATGGAGAGGGAAATAGATGGTTATGTGATAAAGTAAATATTATAAAATGATAATGGTAAGATCTTGATGGGTGGATATATGGGTATTCACTGTAAAATTCTTTTCAACTTTGCTGCCTAGTTTGAAATTTTTTATTATGTTGAACAAAAGTTCTCTGAATTACATTTGAAGTGGAACCTTTCTGCCCAAATTCCAAAGAAGAAAAAGTTACCACTAATAAATGAATTTTAAGAACAGCAACTTTGAGATGTGAAACATTTATAAATCTAGAAAATGCAAAATGTTGTTACCTGTTACATTGCTTAGTTCTTATATATTTTTCTTTGGAAGCGCGTTTATCACCTAGTGTTAATTCTGTACCTTGTTGATTTCAGTGCACTCACTCTGGAGGATGAGAAGAGAACACTGGCCTGTCTGATTAGTGGGTTTGTAAAGATGGTAGGTATTAAGGACGGACTCAGCGGTCTTGGAAAGGGATATAATTGTTTCTCTGTACTCAGGTGGACGAGTTAGCATTATGTTCTTTGGTGCTTCTCGTTCTTATTGAGAGAAGATGAGGCTAGAAAAGAGATTCCATTAGCCAGGCTCCTGGGGCAGAGAGTGCCAGGACAAACTGGCCTCAGGGAAAGTCCGGGGGAGGGAGGGCGGCTTCCTGACTCATGTGACAAAGGTTCTGGAATGGAGCCCTCAGAGGAGCTGCTGGAGGTGGGACCTCCGCATCATGGCTTTGCTCCCGGGTACCCTCCTAGGCAGGCTCGCTCCCCGTGAGAGCCCAGAAGGAAGGGTCCCAGCAGCTTTGTAGGACTGAGTCCTTTGGATGGATGTGGGCCCATCCCAAACAAGTGGTTGCTGTCGGGGAGAGCAAACACGACCACCAGGCCAGGGAGACTCGCACAGCCGGGCAGCCCTCTCGCATGACTGGGAGGCTCCCTGACACTCCTGCTGTCTGCCACGGGACAGCAAAACGCAGCTGTGCCAATGCGCGCCCTCTCCCTTTGCCTGTTACCCGCAGTGTGGACAGCTCACCCCAGGCCACAGTGTTTCATTAATCCCACAGTTCTGTCGGCTGGGCCACTGGGCTGCTCTGGGGGCAGGGTGGGGCCTCAGTGCTGGCTGAGGTGGCTCTCCTCCGTGTGACCGCTTTCTTCCCCTTCTCCCATCATCCAGCTGCCACAGCTCTTACCTGGGAGGGCAGACTCGGGGCCGCAGGGCCTTTAGGCGCAGGTTCAGGAAGGGCAGTGACTCTGTGTCCGGGAGGAAAAGTCCCCAGGGACCCTGAAATGCCCAGCAGAGTGGGGGTTACTGAAGCTTTCTCTGGGAGCACCTGTTCCATCCTCACCAGAACAGCCCTGCCTTTGTTCTTGGTATGCAGAGCTAACTAACTCCCAGCTGCCACCAGTGTCCTGGTTTAACAGGCACTCGAGACAGAGGCTGAAATGGAAATAACTAGGTCACCTTGAAGTAACTGAGGAAATGTGACTCATCCAGCAGCAGGGTCAGCTGAGCTATCCGCCAAACACTGTGGCTAAAATACCAATTTTGATTAAGTTCAGGCCACGTTAGGAAATGTACCTATGGTTTTGACCAGGTGTCTCTCCTGTCCCCTTGATTTATATGCCGGTCATGTGGTCTTTATCTTTTTATGGCTTTGTCTGAAAGCCGCTGAGTTATAATGGAAAAGAATATGAGGAAATAAGATGTGAAACCTGGTAGCAACAGTGGAAATAGCAAAGTTAAACTCCTGGGCCAGAATTATTGCTGTAGCAGTCAGTTTGTCCTGCTAACCAGCTAGTCATCAGTTTTGGAGAAATGGGAGAGGGGATTTGTAATGGGGAGGAAGCCTCCATCTGTGGCTCTGGCAACAGCGGCCACTGAGGTTGGGAACCCCATCAGGGAGCAGGAATCCTGGCCAACGGCCCAGGCTCCCTTTGTGCTCTGAAAGGCGCAGCTGACAGCGCTCCAGGGCTTCCTTCCAGCTCTCCTTCTATATGGGGATGTTCTGTTTGTATTTTGAGATTCTGTGTTTTGTTTGTTTTTGTTAATCCTCAGCTGAGGATATTTTTTCCATTGCTTTTTAGTGAGAGTGAAAAGGAAGGATAGAGGGAGGGGGAGAGAGAGAGAAAGAGACATCGATGTGAGGGAGACACATCGACTGGTTGCCTCCTGGACTCACCCAGACCAGGGATAGGGAATGAACCTGCAGCCCAGGTACATGTCTTTGGGAATAGAACCTGCGATCCTTCAGTGTGTAGGCCAATGCTCTGACCACTGAACAACACCGGCCAAGGAGATTCTGTTTCATACCCTTCAGCCTTTCTGTGTTCTACTCCAGTGCCCATGTCATGATGATGAGGTGGCAGTAGTAACATGTCAGCGACATGCTGAGTGGGGCATTGTAGTCTGGTCAGAGTATATCCCATTGCGTGTGTGCACGCACACGTGCATGCGTGGTTGCATGCCCTTCCCACCTAGTCATATGGGGGGGTCATTGGTGGCTCATCATCTCAGCACCCCCCCTTCCCCCCCAAAGTCCAGGCAAAGCCTGTTCAGCTGTGTGCATTGTCAGCCCCTCTCTCTTTGATTCTAGGTGTCCTTTGGTCGTGATTTTGAGCAACAGCTAAGTTTCTATGTCGAGGCCAGGTCGATGTTTTGCAATCTGGAACCTGTTCTTGTGCAGTTGATTCACGTAAGGCTTTTCATTCATTCATTCTCTCAGCAAATGTTTATTGAGCATCTACATGCCAGAACTATTTAACCTGGGACTCCCCTTCCTCATGTTGCTCCTGGTCCCGAGGTGTGGCAGGCTTTTCTCAAAGGTTGGTGCAATCTAGAACTTACTGAAATCTTTGAGTGGTTTTATTGATCCCTTTTTCTCTGAAATGTGTTTATTCTCGTTCCTGTGTGCCAGCAGCAGAGGCGTGAGGATTGGCTGTGGTTGAGGAATACTAACCCAGGCCTTGCTGCCTCACCAGGGTGCCCACTTCCTTGGGACACAGCCTTTCAGTGACTTTTCATGGTGCCCAGTTTGAAAGAAATCAGTGACATCTCTGTTTATTCAACACTTAGGCTCAGACAACTTAAGTATTTATGCCCCAACAACTTGATAGCTCTTTAAAACAATAATACCTGTAAATGTAAAAAATAGAAATTTTTTGTCATTCTTAATTGACCATAATTCCTTTCTGATGAAGTGTGCTGGGCACCAGTTGGGCACTGCACAGCCTTTCAAACCCCGGAGTTGGGGAGACACCACTACCTTTATTTTCACTTCCACGTTGTCTTTTCCACATTGAGTTTTGCACAGCATTTGCGTTTATCACGCCCCAGCTGTGCAAAGACGCAGCCTCACGGTAAGGAATTGACCCTGGGCTGCCTCGCTCCGGGGCTTTGTCCAGTGCTCAATAATTGCTGTTTTCCTTAAAAAATAAAAAAAAATAAGAGGTTTCCCTGTGAGTTTTTACAGTTTGGGAACCTAGGTCCAAACTTTTCACATCTGTGGAAAAATTCCCTAAGGCTCTTTAGTCGCCCCACATGAATTCAAGAGGAGCAGCTGTATTAAATGTTTGCTGGTTGCCAGGCCGTGGAACATTACTAAGCTTAACACCTACATGTGGAGACTTTGTCTATGACACAGGGAGGTAACCACCCACCTCGCAGGCTGAGGGGGTTATAGATGAGGTAATGAGTGGACAGCTCTTCAGGCAGCACCTGGCTGTGGTACACGATGCTGTGGCTGCTGTCATTACCTCTCCTATGGGTGTTGCTAGTATGGCATAACTGAATTGCATGGTTACTCTCAGATTTGGAAATTTCTCTTAAGATCTTTAAGATCTTAAGCTTTTAGTGTATGGGATTTCCAGAAATGGAGTAGTGAACCCTAGCTGTTCATTAAGCCAGAAAATGGTCATTTATAATGCAGAGGATAGGCAGGCTAACTCAGTGAGAGCCTTCGTTCTACCCCAAGCATGTCAGACTCCAAGGCTACCATGGGCCAAATAAATAAGGTGTAAGTGTATGTGGAGCAAAAAAGCAAAGGCTTCAATTTTCATAGAAATGTAGGTTTATTTCGATAGAGACATGCTGAATACAAAGGGCTGAAATAAAAGAGTCATTAACATAAAGTAATAGAACATTTTAATAAAAATGAATATTTTTTCTTGAACATTAACTTACCAGACACTGAATAACTGCACAAATAAATAAGCATAATGCAAATAAACCTATTTTTCTTGTTCTTCGAAAGCGAAATATTTCCTGTTGCGCACACCAAACAAGTCAGTCCAAGACTAATGACATGGCCATTGGCTGCTAAAATATTCACTGCTGGTGTTAGTGGAGAGAAATGGTGCGCCTGCGCATAAGCATGTAAGGGAAATGAATGCAACATGATTGTAGTAATCAGTCATTAGCGAACGTTGTAGTTTGTTAATAATTACGTATAACAGGATATTGTAAAAATTAAGTTATTAAACTTTTATTAAAATGTTTCTTATATATTGTTATATTGGCTGGGTTGCAAAAATATTCATTGTGGACCGCATGTGGCCTGAGGGCCGCGAGTTTGACATGCTTGGTCTTACTCCCTGGAGATGTTTGAGCAAGCCCAGATGGAGTCTACCTGATGACCCATTTGGCACTTCAGGGTTCAGGGCTAATCAGTCTTTGTCCCACGTGGATGGTTCTCAATGAACTAGCTGCAGTTCATGTTCAGATGTCTGTGGAAGGTTTGAGTCAGCCATCATTCATTCCCATTTCTGTTTTACTCATTAACAAATCCAGAGTGTGAGCCGGTTGGCAATGGAAACAAGAAAAGTGATGAAGGGGAATCATTCCAGAAAAACTGCTGCCTTTGTCCGGGTATGTTCTAAAGATAAGACCCACAGACTGAACTTGGTGGGCTGTGGGTTTCCCAAATTAATTTTCCTTACATGTCTATGGGCCGGCCAGTTTCTGAATGTTTCTGAAAGCAACGTCAGTGGAGCCTGAGTTTGCACAGGTGCTAAGGTGGCCAAGGGTGGGCTTGGGGCTGTGTGCCAGTTCTCTGTAATTATGCTGTCTCTGGAAGGTCTAATAACTTTTCCCCTATTGATCAGTTCCCAAATTTGAAATAAAATTTAAGCTTCTTGAGTGTACTGCTTGAATTTTTACCTAAGTAACACAACCATGTCTTAAAAAATGAAATCCTAGGCAAAACAATGACATCCAAGCATCCCAGCCCTGCCCCTTCTCTTCTCATCCTCTCTCTTCAGTCAACCACTTCAAACTCTTTTTAGCAACTTCTTCTAATCACCTCCACTTTTAAATTTTTTAAATATATTTTTATTGATTTCAGAAAGGAAGGGAGAGAATCATGAATTGACTGCCTCCTATCTCCACTTTTAAAAGTAACTGGTGTATACAGCTGCTTTTAACTTACTGCTGTTAGGTGTTATCTCTGCCCTCCCTTCTGTGCTGGGAGGGTTTATTTTTCATGCCTGTCCCAAAGAGACAGGCACTGCAGAGGCAAGAGGGGAAGTTGGAGCTCAGAATCAGAAATTACTTTTAAGTGTTTTTGCCTGAAAATATGGACAGATGAGAACAGGTGTTCTGATCTACTGTGAGGGCATAGCCAGCTGACCTGCTGTCTCCTTTCTCCAGGCCTGTGTTGCCTACTGCTTCATTACCATCCCATCCCTGGTGGGCATCTTCACACGCCTCAACCTCTACCTGCTTGCTGGCCAGGTGGCCTTGGCCAATCAGTGCCTCTCCCAAGGTAAGCCCCTCCCCTCCTCTCAGGCCCCCCTGCCACTAGGAAAGCCACCCACAGGGCATGTGGGCATGTGCATGAGAGTAGGTGGGGTGAAGAGAAGGAAGGTTCCTTAAGGAGGAAAGGGAAAGTAATCAAGGACGAATTTTAAATATTTCCTTAGTAGGATGCATATCAGACATGCCCACATTTAGAGTCAGATAGATTACAGAGTGTGGCTGTTTTCCTGTAAGGACCATCTTAAATCGCAGACATGCAGGCTGCCTGTGCCTAAGGAATCTTAGACATAAGGCTGAATCCTCCCCGCAGATCATATCTGTCATTGTTGATGTTGGTGTGAAGCCCCAGAAAGACATGGGAGGAATCTAGAAAGGACAGAGTGAACACTGTCTGCAGCTCGCTGTTGGGGATGAAGACTCCGCTCAAGACCCATCTCTGTGCTCACTGTGCATGGCTTATTTGGGAGGGATCGCCCTAGTGTCCGGAGGGTGATGGGGAAGACGAGGGCGAGGGAAGGAAGCCAACCAAGGGGACCCTCGTGGGAAGGTCCGGCTGGGAGCAGCCGCAGTCCACTCCTTCTGGGACCTCCGGGAGGGAGTGCTAATGGCCCTGGCGTTACCCCACCCTTTCCTCCGTCTGTCACTAACCCCTGCTGCTGCTGGGGCACCAGCTTCCCTGCACTCAGGCCTGTGCCTCACGTGAGCCAAGAGAACGCCCTCAGCAAGGATCATAGTGTTTCTGCTGGAGGTTCTTGTCGCCTGCAGTGTGGCCCGTAGCAGGGCCTGCCCAGCAGGCTGTAGCATAGCCTGAAAGAATCCTGCATCGTTTACAGTGTTTGTTACATGAGCTTTTGCACATATCTCCTCTCCTCCTCCTGATAGCTACACAAGGCCAGTCCTGTTGTGGGGACCCCATTTTCTAAGTGAGAAAACTGAGGAGGAATCGCTAGGGAGCCAGCACTCAGCCCCTGCTCTGGCCAAGGCCATGTCCTTTCCCATGGATAGAGGCATGTGCAGTGCAAGCCTCGGAAGGCTCGGGAGTTTCTCTAGCGCTGCCTGAGGCGGACTGACGCTTTCAGGGCTGTCTCCCCCGCCGCCATCTCCCACCTGACATCAGTGTGTGCCAGAGGGAGCCGCCAGCCCTGGCTTGGTGTGGAGGGCATGCTGGGCTGGTCAGACCACGGTCCTTCCTCATCTTTAGCCTCGGCCTGGCAGTCTGGCACCTGGATCTGTGTCTTGATTCATCTGGGGCAGCTCTGGGCATCCGAATCTTCATACGTGACTGCTGGCCCAGGACAGGAGCTCAGCTGGTTAGGGTGTTGTCCCAATATGCCAAGGTTGTGGGTTCCATCTCCAGTCGGCATATACAAGAAGGAACCCGTGAGTGCGTGACTAAGTGGGACAACATATCCATGTTTCTCTCCCCCTCTCTCTCAAATCAATAATAAATAAATGAAGAACATGATTGTTATCCAACAACCTTTTCAAAACCTGGTTGGTCTTGGTTTCGACTCCTGGGAACTCTCGTGTCTCCCCAGTGCATTTGGAGTTAAACTCAACTCTTTGCTGGTTCGTCCCCACATGACCTGGTCCTGCGGCCTCTGTCCTCTCACACCACTCTTCAGCCTCACAGGCTTTATTCTGTTCTGTGAGCAGGCGAAGCTGCCTCCTGACTCAGTGCCTTTGCACTTACGACGCCCTCTCTGTGTAGTGGTCTCCCGCAGATATTCGCATTAACAAGCAGGCAGGCAATGGGAACCACGGTCGGTGCGGCCACCCACGGCCATGGCGGGATGGTTTCTGACTCTGTGTGTGTTTCCTCATCGTCGGGGCCTCACCCACCAGGACTGTGCATTACTAGAGCAGCCTTCTGCCCTCACTATCTGCTGGTACACGTGGGCTTTCTTCTAGGGCCACCTTGGCAAGGAGGACAGTTAGCATGACACAAGGCAAACAAAAACTATCAGCTGCCACCCAACCTGCTGTGCAGCATGAAGATCAGGTTAGTTCATCCCATTGGTTTGAATGTCAGAGGTTTTAACACTTACAAATTGGTTCTCTCTTTTTTTTATTTTTAATATGTTTTTATTGATTTCAGAGAGGAAGGGAGAGGGAGAGAGAGAGAAACATCAGTGATGACAGAGAATCATGGATCGGCTGCCTCCTGAACGCCCCACACTGGGGATCGACCCCACAACCCTAGCATGTACCCTGACCGGAATTGAACCTGGGACCCTTCAGTCCACAGGCCGATGCTCAGGGTTGCATCTGAATTGGTTCCCTCTTTAAAGTCGAGGTGGCTGGCCCGTGTGGGAGTGCCTGCGTTCGGGAGCGCTCACATGTGGGAGTGCCCATCTGTGGAAGCGCCCGCAAGTGGTGTCACACTGTTGGGTGGGGCTCTGGTTTAATTGAGGGTGTTTTCCACCAGCACCTTGTTCTCTGGATGTGGCTGGGAGGTGTTTCCAACTGGAGGTGTATTTGGACCAAATACATTTGGTCTTGTCAGGCAGTTTAGAATTTCACTTGTTGGATCAGTGTTTTGACCTTGGCACTTTTTCTATAAAGAACACTCCATCTTCTAACCCTCACTTCCATCCTCCAGTCTCTCCCTGTCTCTATCCCTTGTGTTCCCTTCTCCTATCTGCTCCGCTTCCTACCTCTCCTTTCTCTTTCTTCCCCCTTGCTTCTTTCCATATCTTCATTTCTTGGATGATTCTGTGGAACTATTACCTAGTCAGTAGTCTCGAAAGCGCATGCGCGCTTATGTGTGTGTGTGTGTGTGTGTGTGTGTGTGTAGTAGTAGTAGTAGTAGTAGTAGTACCTGCGTGTGCATGTGTGTGGATATGTATGCACGTGTGTGCATATATGTGGAGTGTGTATCTGTATGCATGTTTTGTGTATGTGTGCATGTGTGGAGTGCGTGTGTGTGGAGTACATGTTTGTGTGTGTGCATATGTGGAGTGTGTGTGCATGTGTGCACACGTGTGCAGTGCATGTGTGTGTGCATGTGTGCGTGCATTCCTTCAGACATTAGATTGTTATTTCTCTAGCAAAGTGGGTGTGCACTTGAATAGGTATAGACAGGACGGAGCCTCCGCGCACACACCCTCCTGCACCTTGTTCCCAAATGAAGTGGCCCGAGAACCACACTCTCCCGTGGTGAGTGGGCGGGTTCAATGGGACAATCCAGGTTGAACCCTTGGCCCAGGCAACCGTGAATTCTAGGCTTTCTGTGAACATATGCCACTTCTTTTTTCACTTAAGAATCTAAAGCCAGTTTGGCTAAGGTTCTCTGACTGATGGTCAAAGAAGAAGGGAGGATGGGAGGCAGCAACAGCACCTCCACTGGGAATGCCCACCCTCAGTCAGTTCTCGGGAACCTTTCTCGGACCTGCCTGCCATCCCAGCTGCGCAGACAACTCCCTGGGATTCTCAGGACGGGCCTCAGGCCTGTGGAGAAGAAAGCAGAGCCTGTGTTTTTTCAGTTTCCCTGATGGACTTTCTTGTGTTGCAGCTGATGCCTTTTTCAAAGCCGCCATCAGCCTCATCCCAGAAGTCCCCAAGACGATCAATATCGATGGAAAGATGCGGCCGTCAGAACCCTTCCTCTTGGAGTTCCTCTGCAATTTCTTCTCGACTTTGTTAATAGTTCCGGTGCGTCCCCCATGAGAGCTGAAGGTGGTGTCTGTCTCTGACTTGCTGATGTGGGCGTCCTCGGCCATAAGCATGCGGGGTGTTCTGTCTGTGCTGGTTTGTAGTCAGATGCTTGAATGTCTCAGTGTATTTCCCACTCATTTTGTGTCCTGAATGTATTAGTTGAGACTCTCCATATGGCCAGGGGGGTCACTTAGTGATTTAGGGGTGCAGGCTCCAGGACCACAATGCCTAGGATGGACTCCCAGGCCCCCTCCGCACTCTGCAGTCTTGGGTACTAGATGACATTACTGGGCTGCAGTTTCTTTGCCTATAAAATAGTAATAGTAATAATAATAATAATAGTATCTACATCTAAGTATTGATGAGGATTAAATGAGTGAATATGCATACATGGTTGGGACAGTGACTTTGCCCATAAGAAGTGCTGAAAATGGGCCTGGCAAGTATTAGAAACCAAACCATGACAGCCAAGACCAAAGGGGTGTTGTTGGCAGGATCCTGGCATTTCGTATGGAAGGTAGGTGAGCAGTTAGGCTTGGGCGGGAATCCCCCGCCCCCAGGACATGCACAGGAGGGGCTCTGAGCCAAGGCTCCAGCCATGCCTGAGGGTCAGCAGGGCGGCCATGAATTTAAACGGGAGAAAGCATGCCGTCTTTGTTCTTACAAACCTCATGAGATGTAGCCTCTCCCTCTGCTCCAAATTATAGGCACTGAGCCAGTGTTTGTCGTAGTATCTGGGACTTTGTCACCAATAGATTAATCAGCAGTGTGCTCTCGCCAGGTGACTCGGTTGGAGCATCTCCCCGGGCATCAAAGGGTCTCAGGTTTGATTCCCAGTCAGGTTGCAGGTTCCACCCCCAGTTGGGGCATGTGCATGAGGCAACTGATTGATGTTTCTCTCTCCCTTCTTGCCTCTTCCTCTAGAAACAATGAAAGTCATATCCTTGGGTGAGGATTAGAGAGATAGATGATAGATAATTTAGATAGATAGATAGATAGATAGATAGATAGATAGATAGATAGATAGATGATAGATAGAGAGAGAGAGAGAGAAAGAAAGAGAGAGAGAGAGAGAGAGAGAGAGAGAGAGAGAGAGAGAGAGAGAGAGAAATAGAGAGAGAGAGAGGGAGGGAGAGAGGGAGAGAGAAATCACCAATATGCTCACATCACAATCCAGGTGTGAAAGATATTTCAGAACATTGATTATGTGCTTTTTTCCCTAAAAGCACAGAAGTTACTGGTCTTATTGTTACGTCTGTTATCTAAAGGCATTCACCAAGGAGTCATAGATTACACATGACACCTATCCTGAAGAAACATTGATGACTATTTCAGTGCAGTTAGCTTCTTGGTAGTCTCAGGATTGCTGCAGCTATAGGGGGTCTTCTTTGAGTTCATATCAAGTTTTGGAATATTTGGTCTAGATCTGTTAAACATGCCATTGGTATTTTAATAGGAATTGAATTTAATCTGTAGATTACTTTGGGTAGTTTGGACATTTTAATGATGTTAATTCTTCCAAATCATGAACACTTACTTAAATCTTCCTCAGTTTCTTTCGTCAATGTCCTGTAGTTTTCCAAGTAACCTCCTTGGTTAAATTTATTCCTAGGTACCTTATTTATTTATTTATTTCGGTTGCAATTGTAAATCAAATTATTATCACAAGTTTCTCTTTGTGATAGTTCATTATTATACTACTGATTCCTGAATATTAATTTTGTAACCTGCTACTTTGCCAAAATAATTTATTAAATCTTTGTAGTTTTTTGGTGGAGTCTTCAGGGTTTTCTATGTACAATATTATGTCATCTGTAAGAAATGAGTTTTACTTCCTTATTTTTCAATTTGGATGCCTTTATTCTTTTTGTCCGATTGCTGTGGCTAAGACTTCCAGTACAATGTTGAATAAGAGTGGTGAAAGAGGGAAGCCCTATCTTATTCCTGATCTTAAGGAAAACGCCTTTAATTTTTGCCCATTGAGTATGATGTTGGCTCTAGGTTTTTCATACATAGCCTTTATCATGTTGAGGTATGTTCCCTTTATTCCTAGTTTGCTAAGTGTTTTTATTGTAAATGGTGGATTTTATCTAGAGGCCCAGTAATAATAATACTGGGTGCAATAATCAAACTCCCTTCCTCTCTGAAAGCAATAATCCCTTGCTTTTTCTGCTTCTATGTATATGATCATGTCATTTTTATCTTTCATTTTGTTTATGTGATGTATCACATTTATTGATATTTGAATATTGTACCAACCTTGCATCCTAGGAATAAAACCCACTTGATCATGATGTGTGATCTCTTTAATGTATTGTTAGATCCAATTTGCTAATATTTTGTTGAGGATTTTAGCATCTATGTTCACCAGTTTCTTCCTTTGTAGCGTCTTTATCTGGTTTGGGGATTAGGATGATGCTAGCCTCGTAATAAAGGTTAGAAGTCTCTTCCCTGCTCTTGGATGTTCTGGAGCAGTTTGAGAAGGGATAGGTGTTAGTTCTTTGAATGTTTGGTGAAATCTCCTGTAAATCCATCCGGTCCAGGGTTTTTGGTCCCTGGGACTTTCTTTATGACTGCTTCAATGTCATTAGTTATTATTGGTCTATTCAGGTTTTCTGATTCTTCCTGATTTAGTTTTGGAATAATGTATGTTTCTAGGAATTTATTTGTTTTTCCCAAGTTGTCCAATTTATCGGCATATAGTTGTTCATAGTATATTCTTACAATCCTTTGTATTTCTGGGATGTCAGTTGTTACTTCTTTTATTTCTGATTTTATTCATTTGTGTCCTCTCTGTTTGTTTCTTGATAACACTTGTTAAATGATCATCAATCTTTTCAAAGAACCAGGTCTTTGTTTCATTGATCTTTTATACTGTTATTTAGTGTCTATGTTATTTATTCCCACTCTAATCTTTATCATTTCTTTCCTTGTTGCTTTGCTTGTTGCTTTTTCTCTAGTTCTTTTAGGTGGGCTAAAAGATTGTATGGTTAGATCCATGGCCGGCAAACCATGGCTCGCAAGCCACATGTGGCTCTTTGGCCCCTTGAGTGTGGCTCTTCCACAGAATACCACGTGCAGGCGTGCACATACAGTGCGATTGAAACTTCATGGCCCATGCACAGAAGTCGGTATTTTGTGGAAGAGCCACACTCAAGGGGCCAAAGAGCTGCATGTGGCTCGCAAGCCGCGGTTTGCCGAGCCGCAGTTTGCCGACCACTGGGTTAGATTGTATATTTGAGGTTTTCCTTGCTTCTTGAGGTAGGCCTGTAATGCAATGAAGTTACCTTTTAGGACTCGTTTTGCTGTGTCCCATAGATTTTGAGTTGTTGTGTGCTCATTTTCATTTGTTTCCTCGAAGTTTCTGATTTCTTCCTTGATTTCATTGATAATCCCTTTATTGTTTAATAACATGCTGTTTAGCCTCCATGTGTTTGAATATTTTTGAGCTTTATTTATTGTGGTTGATTTCTAGTTTCATACTATTGTGATCCAGGAAGATGCTTGATAAGATTTCAGTCTTCTTGAATTTGTTGACTTACTTTGTGTCCTAACATGTGGTCTATCTTTGAGAAAGTTCCATGTGTACTTGAGAAGAATGTATATTCTGCTGCTTTGAGGTGAAATGTTCTGTAAATATCAATTAAATCCATCTGTTTCAGATCACTCTTTTCTTGTTGATTTTTTGGTCTGGAAATCTATCTATTGATGATAGTGAGGTTTTTAAAGTTCCCTACTGTGACTCTATTGCTGTCAATCTCTCCTGGTAAGTCCACCAAGATTTTATTTATATATATGTGTGTTCCTCTATTGGATGCTCATATGTTTGCAAGGGTTATGTCCTCTTTTTCCCTTTTTTTTTTAACCCTTACCCAAGGATATGTCTTTATTGAATTTAGAGAGAGGAAGGAAGTGGGAGAAAAACATTGATGTGAGAGAAACATCAATCAGTTGTCTCCCGTGTGCATCCTGATCAGGAATCAAACGTGCCCTGAATGAGACTCAAAGCTGCAACCTTTTGGTGCACAGAATGACATTCCAACCAAGCCACCTGGCCAGGACCCTTTTGTTGAATCAACTTTTATAGTGGCCTTCTTTGTCTCTTGTTTTGTACTTGAAGTCTTTTTGAAGACTTTGTTTTGGCCTTTGTTTTGAAGTCTTTTTTGTCAGATATAAGTATTGCTACCCCAGCTTTTTTTAGTTTGTTTCCATTTGCATGGAATTTTTTTTCTCCATCCCCCCATTTTCAGCCTATGTGAATCTTTTGTTCTGAGGTGAGTCTCTTGTAGACAGTATATATATGGGTCATGTTTTCTTATCCATTCAGCTACCCTGTGTCTTTTGATTGGAGCATTCAATCCGTTTACATTTAAGGTTATATTGATAAGTACTTATTTATTGTCATTATTCCTTTATACCTATGTTTTTTTTCTATATATGTATTTTTCTTCCTGAAGCAATTCTTTTAACATTTCTTGCAATACTGGCGTGGTGACAAAGAAGAACTCTTTTAGCCTTTTTTTTTTTTTTTTAGGTCTGGCAAGCTCTTTATTTTGCCTTCAGTTTTGAATGATAGCCTTGTGGTAGGTAGTCTTGGTTTCAGATACTTGCTTTTCATGACTTTGAATATTTCATGACATTCTCTTCTGACGTGTAGTGGTTCTGCTGAGAAATCAGCTGATAGCCTTATGGAAGCTGCCTGTAGGTAACTGACGGTTTCTCTCTTGTTTCCTTTAAGAGTCTCTCTTTGTAACATTTGCCATTTTAATTATGCTGTGTCTTGATTGGGACTGCCTGTGTTTCTTGAACTTGTGTGACTTTTTTCTTCACCAGGTCAGGAAAGTTTTCTGTGATTATTTTTTCAAACAGCTTCTCTGTTCCCTTGCTTATTTTCTTCTCCTCTGCACCCTACGACGTGGATGTTGTTAGAATCATGTTATCCCAAAGTTCTCTTAAACTCTCCTCCTGCTTTGTAATAATTTTTTCTTTAGCTGCTCTGATTGGGTGTGTGTTTGTTTTTTCTATTTTGTCTTCCAAATCACTGATTAGATCCTCTGCTTTCATCTAACCTACGTTTTATCACTTTCAGTGTATTCTTGATGTCAGATATGGTATTCTTCATTTTCAACTGGTTCTTTTTATGGTTTCTATGTCCCCTCATGCTGTTGTAGTTCTCACTAATTTCTGTGAGCATTCTCATAGCCATTACTTTGAACTCTATGTCTGATAAATTGCTTGACTCCATTTTATTCAGCTCTTTTTCTTGAGATGCCTCCTGTTCTTTCATTTGGGGCCTGCACTTTATCTCTCCATTTTGGCTGTCTCTTTGTGTTTGTTTCTGTGTATTAGGTAGAACTTCTATGAGTCCCAGTCTTTGGGTGGTCATATTATGCAGTAGGTGTCCTGTGGGGCCCAGTGGTGCAGTCTCCTTGATCTCCGGAGCTGGGTGCTCTAAGAAAGGCCCCTTGTGGGGGTTATGTGGGCCCTTCTTTTGTACCTGGCTCCTGATTGTGTTGGCCCATCGTGGCTGGCTGTGAGGCTCACTCCAACCATGGTGTGCGAGCTGCGGTGCACGTGTAGTCTCAGGAGCCTTGGGGCTCAGCGGCACAGTCCTCCACATCACCTGAGCTCTGTGCTCCAGGGATGTTTCTGTGGGCTCTGTGCAGGCATCCCTATTGTAGTGTGTCTTGAATGCTGTTAGCCCTTTCATGTGTGGTTACTCTTCCACTGGGTGGCTGTAAGGATAAACCTCGGTCACTTTATAGGAGGTGCTGTGCAGGGGCTACCCACTTGGGCGTGCTTGCTCCCACAGGGCTCAGTGCCACTTGTGTAGCTAGTTAGATCACTCGCTGTGTGGTGTGAAGCCCACTGGTTGTGTTGGTGCTGGGCCCACTGGGTGGGGTCAGGTACAGATTAGGTGTAACTGGCCACACAAGACATGGTGTGGACATCATGCTATCCTATATAATAAAAGCCTAGGTGGTGTCACGCCCTCACCTCATCACAAGATGGCCGGCAGGGGAGAGCCGTTGGGGGCGACCAGGCCAGCAGGGGAGGGCAGGCAGGCAGGCAAGTGGTTAGGAGCCAGCAGTCCCGGATTGTGAGAGAGATGTTCGACTGCTGGTGCGGGATCAGGCCTAAACTGGTAGTCAGACATTCCCAAGGGGTCCCAGATTGGAGAGGGTGCAGGCTGGGCTGAGGGACATCCCCCCACCAATGCACGAATTTTATGCACCAAGCCTCTAGTTTTATATAATAAAAGCCTAATATGCTAAGTGTCTGAAGGACTGGTTGGCTGTTCAACCAATCAAAGTATAATATGCTAATGATATGCTAAGGCCGCTCAACCAGACGCTATGACATGCACTGACCACCAGGGGTCAGACAGTCGACCGGTTGACCAGTTGCTGTGACATGCACTGATCACCAGGGGGCACACACTCCAACCAGTAGGTTAGCTTGCTGCTGGGGTCCGGCTAATCGAGACTGAGTCAGAAAGACTGGACATGCCCTAGAGCCCTCCCACCTTCCCCGGCTGACCAACCTACCTCATCCCTCCCTGGCCCCAATTGTGCACTGGTGGGGTCCCTCGGCCTGGCCTATACCCTCTCACAATCCAGGACCCCTTGGGGATGTCGGAGAGCCAGTTTTGGTCCAATCCCACAGTCCAGGCCGAGGGACCTCACTGGTGCACGAATTTGTGCATTGGGCCTCTAGTGCAATAATAATGATCTTTATTATTTATTCAACCAACACTTATATGCCTCTTACAATCGGCCAGTAGCCACCACAGTGTTCACGCTGTGTCTGCATCTACTAGACCTGTGTGTGCGTGGGAGGGGCTGGTCTGTGGAAGGGCAGCTTATGCACCTGAAACGGGGGTGTGGAGGGAGAGTGGCGTCATCATATCATGACAGCATCTTCCCGGAACATGGAAAAGCTACCATAAAAGTCAGCTACTGTTCTGTTTTTATAGCCACCTCAGTGCTTTGAGCACAGAGAAGGTGCTCAAAAGTATAATCCATGCAACACTACTTACCGAGTACCCTCTGTGCCCACCCTCCCAGGAACCGGTGGGCACCGCTCACACTGGAGGTGCACTCTTGGCAAACACGATGGGTACAGTCTGTCCTGGAGGCTGCAGGCGGGAATGAGAGAGAAACGGACAGACCAGGAGGTGCTGTGGGGGTCACTAAAGGAGTAAAGATGATCACTTAGGTGGTGGGGCCCACCCTGGCAGAGACAGCGGGATGACTTGGGACAAAGAAGGATGGGGGAAGCCTGGTCGGGGCGCATAGGGGAGGCAACCGATTGATGTTTCTCTCTCCCCGCCTTCTCCTCTCTCTAAAATTAAAAAAAAAATCAATTGACATATCCTCCGGTGAGGATTAAAGTAGCAAAGGGGAGGACGATGGGGAGCCTTGAGGAGCTAAGGTATGAGGTGAGATGTAGGCCAGTAGTCACCAACCTTTTGGACCTCGCGGCCACTGGTTGCCGACCACTGGTCTAGGCTGTCTTGGAGCCGGCGCGGCCTTGACAAAGTCTCGCAGGTAAAGAGTCCAGCGGAGGGAGCAGGAGGGCCCAAGGCAGAGCTCCTTGGCACGATGCCTCAGCACCCCCATCCTAGCTGTCTGGGAGCCTGGCCACTGGGGCTGCCTTGCCTGGGCTTCCAGCTCCCAGCTCAGCCAGCTGGCGCCAGAGGCATGGGGTCAGAGGTGGGGCAGCAAGTGGGGGATGTGGTTTCTTAGAGGCTACCCCCAGGGCCTTGCGGGCACCTCTCCTGCTGCAGAGCCTGACCATCCAGTGATGTTGCTTTCAGCCCAAGGGTGGGGACGCTTCCTGCTGTGGCTAGGCCCTGGGTGCCTCCCCAGGTCCCTTCATCTTATAATTAACCCTTTACCAGACAGTGCCACTAAACCTTTGATGTGCCCTGTGTCCTGCAGGATCCGAGTGGCCCAGCTGGTCCCAGGAGTCCTATAGGGGCAGCTAGCATGGGCGAGGACAAGGTGCCAGCCTGGCCAGAGGCCCTGAGGACAAGCGCTCACCATGGACTTGGTGGGTGGGGTCTCTAAAGGGTGTGAGCAGGGGAGCCACACAGTGCAATCGTCCTTTTTGGAACGGAATCAAAGCAGCAGACTTTTCTGCATCCCAACACTCTTTTTCGATCCAGCTCAGCGTCTGAGAAGTACTCTTACCGGCTCTGCGACTGTCTTGGATTTTCCTTCTCCCGAGTGGGTCCTCAGTTTAGCTGTAGCGATGCAGAGTGCCCTCCCGAGCGAGGCTGCTTTTACATCAGGCCTCGTGCTAACTGCGTCCTTTGGGAGCTTCACGTGGAGTAGGCGGGGCTGTGCGTCTGCCGAGGCCTGCGCCTGGTGTCTGTAGCTGGAGGATGGGTGTTCACTGCTCCGTGTGTGAGAGCAGGATGGTAGCTTTGTAAGCAGGCCATTAGCTAACAGGTAACTGCTTTCCCGTACCTGGGGCCACACAGGGAGGCTCTCAGAGCTGCCTGCCCAGCCTGCAGTGTGCTGCCGAGTGGGGTGGGTGGCATCTTAGCATTTCACTTTGGTTTGACCACAGCTCTCCCGGGCATGTTCATAGCCAGTCTCAGGCACTTCACCTCCACAGTTGACAAGGGAGGGCCCTGAGTTTCCATCTGGGTTTTTCTCCTGATCAGACCTGGGAACATGTGCCTTTATGGTTCTCCGCTAGGATCATCCTGAGCATGGGGTCCTGTTCCTTGTTCGAGAGCTTCTCAACGTGATCCAGGACTACACCTGGGAGGACACCAGTGATGACAGGATCCGAATCTACACCTACGTGCTGCACCTGCTGTCCGCCATGAGCCAGGAAACCTACCTCTACCACGTGGACAAAGGTAGCCAGGCCTGCCACCAAGTGCATGGGGCTGAAGTTTCATGAGAGTCTAGTAAAATTGTCTTTTTTTTTTTTTTTTCATTTAATCTGCCTTGTGCTTACCTACCATGGACTTCCACCTCCAGTCCAGCGTCTTGCTAAACTTGCCCAGTGTAAGAATTACCTGGTTCCTGAGCCCGTCTGCCCTTCTAAATTAGAGTCCCAGGAAGAGACCTGAGATCTGTGCCTTCTAACAAGCATTCCAGGGCCCAGATTTGACACTGAGATGAATCCAGAAAATCCCTCTTTGGGGTCGGTGCTGCCTGTGGGGTCCTACAGAACAGTCTCGGCTGGTGGTGAGGTGTGCACCTGCATGAGCGGCAGGCACCGGCCTGCTCAGACCCCAGCCGCAGGTGGTCCTGGTCTGGGTATTTGCCTATGACTCCCAGTGGTGGCGAGCTCAGCCAGCCCGGCAGATGCTGGGAGGAAGGATGGCGTGGTGGCCGGTGTTCCCGGCCTGAACTTGCTGCTGCAGCATTGGGAGCAGCACCTCACATCCTGTGTGTGGCAGAGACGTCCCACTTCCAGCCCACTGCTCTCTGAGCCTCAGTTCTAATTTTTGATTTCCAAAAAAATGGCCCTATTGTTAAAAATGTTTTGGCCAGTAATTGTATACTTTGGGGTTTAAGCAATGGTCTCTCCGTGTGAAAGGTTCAGGGCACAAGTCTGAGTGGGGAGTCCCCACCCTAGCTCTCAGGGCTCTGTGGCTGGGATTGGAAGCTGGTGGGAGAGCTGTTCTCAGGAAGGCTGGCCCTGTAGGGGAGGGGAGCTTCCACTGCAGGCAGGTGCCACCCCGACTCCAGGGGCCTCTTTCTCCTTGAACCCTCTCAGCACCGTGATGAGGACAGGCATCCGCATCCACCAGCAGAGACTTGGAAAGACCAGGTGGTTTAGCAGCCACAGAGATCAGGGCCCAGGCCCTAGTGAGGGGAGTGGAATTCACATGCAGGACTGTGGGGCACATATTATGCTACCTCCTTGATTACAAAGCAGAAATGTCTTAATTAAGTATAACAGGACGTACATACCACAGACTGCACAGCTCAGTGAGCTATCACACAGTGAGTGCACCCAGGTAGTCACCTAGAGCAGGAAGTGGGTACTGCTGGCCCCCAGGCCCACGCCTGCTCCAGTGGCACCAGTGCCTTCCTCTCCAGATGGCACTAGCCCTACCCGCTGGCACTCCTGGTTCGTGGCCATTTTGACTTTATGTAAATGAGCTCATTCAGGAAGCATTCTTTGGTGTCTGGCCTCTTTATTCCATGTTGAGTCTGTGAGATTCTTCTGAGCTGGAACTGCAGTCCTACTCATACTGCCCTGTCTGCCCACGGGGTGGTTCACCAGGGCTCACTCCCTGTACGACAGGTGTCTGTGTTTGCAGCCTGGCTGTGAGTGCATGTGGCTCTTGTGCACACTGTGCTGTGTGTGCCCTCAGCTGCTTGAAATGGTGGCGCTCGGCTCCGCTGGTTCTGGGCAGTTTCTCAAAGGTTGCACCAGTGACACTTATCATGAAGGGTTCCAGTCGTCCCCGTGTGGCTGGTCATTGTGATTGGGACCTTCTGATGCGTGTCATTTGCATTTCTCTGAGGGCTAATGAGGTTGAGCACAGTCCCTGTATCTGTGGGCAGTTTATCTCCTCTTTGTGATGGGCAAGTGGAGGGGTCTGTACAGAGGCCCCTTCCAAGGAGGGCTCTCCTCTCCAGGTGACCTCCCCTCACAGGGAGACCGCAGGGCGGAGCTACAAGGGGCGTGGCTAGGGTTACAGGCTGAGGCCCCTTCCTGGCTTTGAGAGAGGAAAGCAAGCAAAAGGATGGGTTTTCTTTGCCTTCCTCTTGGCCCAGCTGTTTACTTCGAATGCACTGGTGACTTGACCTGTCAGTAGGAAGCGGTCTGGGGCTGTAACTGAGCTACAGGTCCTCAGGCCAATGCTCTATCTGCTGAGCCAAACCAGCGAGGGTCAGGCAACCTTTGAGTAATGGTGTGAGTTCGGGCTTCTGAAAAGCTGGGCCAGATACTTTTTGCATTTATGAAGGACGGCTTGGCTGCTTTCTTTCCAGATTAATGAAGAGAAAGTTTTGACGTCATGTAGATCAAGAACTCCAGTGCTTCATGCATGAGAGCGGGCGTGCAGTGTGGACGGGGAGAGCACTTGGGGACGAAGGGGGAGGGGGTTGGGGAGGGGGGGATTGAGCATCACAGCCCTCTCCTTTCAGGCTGTGCTTGTGCACCGCTGGGAGGGGGGCAGGTGAGGGTGGGCCCAGGAGCAGCAGGAGGGCTGATTCTAGGTGGGAGGGCTCCATGGACTGTTTCTCAACTTCCCTGTGGCCTGGACAATTAAGAGCACAGCAAGTTATATTCCTGCAGATGCGCTGAATTGAACTCATTTTATTAAACACCTTAAACCACAAAGTGTATTAGTGCCATTACCAGCATGGCCTCTGGTTTATCAGATGTCACCACACCTGGGACGATGCTTGACCACATCCAGGCCGTGAGGAATCAGGGAGTGAGCGCACGTGGGCACTGCTGGGAGGAAAAGAGCGGGCTCTGTGGGCAGGGCTGTGGCATCGTTATGGGCCCTAAATGTCACAGCAGCCTGCCTGTCCCCTCCTCCACCCCGGACAGAGGAAAGGAATAAACTACTGAAGCCTCACACAGGGACTTTAAATGCATTCCGGTCCGTGATACACCGGACACTGCTCGACTGTTACAGAGCGAGCAGCGGGCTGTATGTGCCGACTCAGAGACTGCTCCAAGGGTAACACGTGGAAGCCAGCCTGCCTCGCCTCCCTCCCCAAGGGTCAGCTCTGGGTCCGTTCAGCCCACAGGAAGGAGGGAGAAGGCCCAGCTGACTAGACACAGAGTGGGGACTTTTGGGCAAGAGATTTTCAAAGGATTCAAGTTCACAGGAGACATACAGAGCTTTAGAGCCAGGCTGCGGGAGCTTGGGGGGTGGCATTTCTCTGAGGGCTAATGAGGTTGAGCACAGTCCCACTGTGGGGGACTAGGCAGGCAGCTGGTTGAGTGGAAACAGCTGAGGCCCCAGAGCGGGACTTCCTGGCTTTGGATACCAACTGGGACCACCTCTGAGCCTGTTTCCCATCGGTCCAGAGGAGATGTCACATCCAGGGGAGATGTCAGTATCTTCTGGCTGTGAGGACTCATGGTCCATGCTGAAAGCGTCCCTCCCAGTGCCTGGCACCAGGAGGCACGTGGTGCTGGCCCTGCCTGGTGGTCACCAGGGTTCTGATGGCACTCCACACCCTGGCCTCTGGCTCCAGCATCCAGAAGGCTCCAAGCCTGGTGGGACGTTTGGCTGTTACATCTGCCCTGCTGCGGTTCCCGCTCCTGCTGACATGCCCGCTGGCGCATCGCCCACCAGCGCAGCCGCAATGTCTCCACTCTGCTTTGTCTCCTTAGTGGACTCCAACGACAGCCTCTATGGGGGAGATTCCAAGTTTCTGGCTGAGAACAACAAGCTGTGTGAGACAGTGATGGCCCAGATCCTGGAGCACCTGAGGGCCCTGGCCAAGGACGAGGTGGGTGCCCTGCTAGCCCAACCCTGCTGCTCGCTCGCTTGCTCTAAAGGCACGAGTTTCCAGGGCGGTTGGATGTGGGCTCATTTCTGGAAATGTTCATGGGAGTTATGTGTTCACATGTGACCATGGAGCCTCGCTCAGCTCTTGGTGGGCCTGTTGCTTCCCGGGGGCCCTTACTGCCCAGGGACATCACAGTGTAGTGCCCCTAGGTCCATCTATGTGTCACAAGTGGTCAGAGTTCATTCTTAGATGGCCAACTAATACTCCACTGTATACATGCACCACCTCTTCTTTATCCACGGGTCTCCTGATGGGCACTGGGGTTACTTCCTTATTTGGCTGTTGTAAATAAGGCTGCAATGAACATGGGGTGAATATATATTTTCAAATTAGTGTTTTGTATTTCCTTCGATAAATACCCAGCAGTGCAATTGCTGCATTATACGTATTTCTATTTTTAATTTTCTGAGAAAACTTCATACTGTTTTCCATGGTACCTGCACCCGCAATACCACCAACAGTGCACAAGGGTTCCCTGTTCTCCACATCCTCAACACTTGAACATTGACTTATTGATGATAGATATCCACTGTGACAGGTGTGAGGTAATACCTCATTGTGGTTTTAATTTGTGTTTTTCTAATGAGTTGAGCTTCTTTGTCTATTGGCCTTCTCAGTGTCATCTAGAGAAATGTCTATTCAGGTCCTCTGCCCATTTTTTAATGAATTTTTGGTGTTAAGTTACATGAGTTGTTTATAAATTTTGAATATTAATTCTTTATTGGATATATCATTGGAGAATATTTTCTCCCATTCAGTGGGTTGTCTTTTTGTTTTGTTAACGGTTTCCTTTGCTATGCAAAAACTTTTTAAATTTGATGTAGTCCCATTTGTTTATTTTTTCTCGTTTCCCTTGCCTAAGAAGGCATATCTATAAAAAAAAAAATAACTAAGATAAATGTCAAAGAGTTTACTGCCTATGGTTCCTTCTAATAAGTTTATGGTTCTAGGTCTTATATATAGGGTGTCCCCCAAAAGAAGATGTACACACACTTTGAATAATTATAAAGGCAGTGCTTATTAAAACACATTTCAGCCCTAACCGGTTTGGCTCAGTGGATAGAGCATCAGCCTGCGGACTCTAGTGCCCCCAACTCATTTCATTTTCAAAATTGAGCTGTCAATTGAATAAAGACCCAAATAGCCTCAACAATCTTGAGAAAGAAGAATAAAGTTGGAGGGATCACAATACCAGATTTCAAGCTATGTTACAAAGCCACTGTAATGAAAACAGCCTGGTACTGGCACAAGAATAGGCATATAGATCAATGGAACAGAACAGAGACCCCAGAAATTGACCCAAGCCATTACACTCAATTAATATTTGAGAGAGGAGGCAAGAGCATACAATGGAGTTAAGACAGTCTCTTCAATAAATGGCATTGGGAAATTTGGACAGATACATGCAAACAAAAAGAAACTAGACCACCAACTTACACCATACACAAGAATAAACTCAAAATGGATAAAGGACTTAAATGTGTCAGGAAACCATAAAAATCCTAGAAGAAAATGTAGGCAGCAATATATCAGACATCACATGGAGCAGAATTTTCACTGGTGACAACACCTCGGGCAAGAGAAACAAAGGAGAAAATAAACACATGGGACCACATCAAACTAAAAAGCTTCTGCTCAGGAAGGAAACCAACAACAAGGTGAAAAGGGAGCCCACTGTAGGGAGAACATACTTGGCAATTATACATCTGATAAGGGTTAATTTTCAAAATACATTAAAACATCTACAACTCAGCCCAGGAAGACAGACAATATAATTAAAAATTGGGCAAAGGACCTGAATAGACACTTTGGCTATCAATAAATCAACAAGCAATAAGTACTGGTGAGAATGAAGAGAAAAGGGAATCCTTGTACACTGCTGGTGGGACTGCAGACTGGTGCAGCCATTAGGAAAACAGTGTGGAGTTTCCTCAAAAAATTAAAAATGGGTCTGCCATTTAACTCAGTGATCCCACTTCCAGGAATATATCCTTAGAAACCTGAAACACCCATCAGAAAGAATGTATGCACCCCTGTGTTCATAGCAGCATTATTTACAATAGCTAAGACCTGGAAACAGCCCAAGTGCCCATCAGTAGATCAGTGGATAAAAAGGCTGTGGCACATTTATACCCAGGAAACTATGCAGCAGTAAAAAAGAAGGATCTCTTACCCTTTGAGATAGCATGGAGGGACCTGGAGAGTATTATGCTAAGTGAAATAAGCAAATCAGAGAAAGACAAGTATCACATGATCTCATATGTGGAATCTAATGAACAAAATAAACTGACAGAATAGATCCAGAGACATGGAAACATGAAACAGACTAATAATTTTTAGAGGGAAGGGGATGGGGAGACAGGAAGAGATTAAACAAAGAACTTATATGCGTACTAGAGGCCTGCTGCATGAAATTTGTGCTCTGGGGGGCGGGGGGGGGGATCCCTCAGCCCAACCTGTGCCCTCTTGCAGTCCTGGAGTCTTTAGGGGATCTTGAGTGGGCCTAAGCTGGCAGGTGGACATCCTTAGTGCTGCCGCGGAGCGGAAGAGGCTGCTGTCACTGCCACTGCGCTCACCAGCTGTGAGCCAGGCGTCTGGCTGAGCGGTGCTCCCACTGTGGGAGAGTACTGACCACCAGGGGGCAGCTCCTGCCTTGAGTGTCTTCCCCCTGGTGGCCAATGCGTGTCATAGAAACCAGTTCTTCCACCGTCGGGCTGAAACTGGCTCTCCGATATCCCCAAGGGGTCCTGGATTGCAAGAGGGCACAGGGCAGGCTGAGGGACCCTATTGGTGCACAATTGGGGCCAGGGAGGGACCACAGGAGGGCTCCAGGGCATGTCCAACCTGTCTCGCTTAGTCCCGATTGGCTGGACCCCAGCAGCAAGTTGACCTGGTCGCAGCGTCTGCCCCCTGGTGGCCAGTGCACATTATAGCAACTGGTCGACCGGTCGACTGCTACCCCCTGGTGGTCAGTGCACATTATAGCGACTAGTTGACCGGTCAACTGTCTGCCCCCCTGGTGGTCAGTGCATGTCATAGCAAGTGGTTGAGCGGCCTTAGCATATCATTAGCATATTATGCTTTGATTGGTTGAATGGCCA